ACCGGATAATAGATGCTGGCCCGAAGGGGAATTATTCTCGTTTTATGAACCATAGTTGTAATCCAAACTGTGAAACACAGAAGTGGACAGTGAACGGCGACATTAGAGTCGGGCTGTTTGCGCTGTGTGACATTCCCGCAGGTAAGAAGATGGCACTCTTCTGCGTGTGTGCTTCTGGCTGGAAATGGCTACATTCCTCACTTGGATAGGGGTTTTTTCTCTGAAGTTACTTAATACCTGTGACGTTTATAGGGACTTTGTCATTCACTGGAGTGGAGACAAATATTTGAGTTCCAGCATTATCAAGATCTTACAGTTAGAAATAGTTTGAAGCTGAAAACTACTGTTAAAGCTGCCTGCAGGGCTGCTGCGAAGTACAGTGTTAACTCTGGGTCATGTGAACTCTTACCATGGCATCGATGCTTTCAGCAATATTTGTATGATGTGGTGTTATCTTTCCGTGTGAAGTGTTTCACCTGATCTGTCGTTTTAACTGGATCTGCGAGATAGCCGCTGCTTGTGTCTGATCTAGGCAGAATTTGCTACTTTCCGAGTTCATGAAGTCGATGCACTATTTTGGGCTTGCCCTTTTGAAACATACTGCTGCTAGATCTCACAAGCTGTGAAGGGATAAATGCTAGTGAAATGTCATTGTCACAAGCCTGTGTTTCCTCAGTGTCTGTGTGGGTGAATTGTTTTTCTTTAAATTTTAGGAATGGAGTTAACATTTAACTATAATTTGGATTGCCTGGGCAATGGTAGGACCGAGTGTCATTGTGGAGCAGAAAACTGCAGTGGTTTCCTAGGAGTGCGTCCAAAGGTACACGGAAGAAAATTAAATCTTCTCTTCCCAAATCCAGTGAGAGTAGGGCAAAGAGGGGGGTTTTGGTTTATTTAACTTTTTACTTTAATACTTTGCACCCTTGAAAGTCTCTAAAAATTTTACAGTTATGAACTGTAGTGCTGTTTTGTCTAGGGTGAAGTTTATTTACCAGTTTTTGTTAATTCAAATACGTATGAATGGGCATTTCTGGCTTTTAAAATCTTTTTTTGCTGGATTTAATTTAAGCATAGTTCATGCAGATAATAACCCAAATTGATTAAACTAATTTTAATGCAAGGGGTTTATAAAATGACTGTATGCTGTGATCTTTGTAATTGCTAGACAGCATTTGCAACTGCAAATGAAGAGAAGGTGAAGAATGCAAAATTAAAGCAGAAGAAGCGGAAAATAAAAACAGAACAGAAGCAGATGCACGAAGACAACTGTTTCCAGTGTGGAGATGGAGGAGAACTAGTCATGTGTGATAAAAAGGACTGTCCCAAAGCCTACCACCTCCTATGCCTTAACCTGACTCAACCACCTTTTGGTAAGAGCAGTTGTGTGGCTTTCTGTTCATCTTTCCCTTCCTTGCAAGGCAGTGCTGGAGCTGAGCTGCAGTATTCGGTTACATTAAATGCAGCGTATTTACTTCTGCAATACCGCTCATTTTTAGAAATACATCAGGTGGCAGGGTTCCTGCCTGAGAACTGATGGACAGAGGGGCATTGTAATCATTTTGATGTTCTTGCTGTTGCGTTCTCTTTCTTGGATCATATTTCCCCCTCTTATTTTAATTGAAATACAAGCTTCATCTTGATGTGCCATGGCCACCGTGTCACCAATCAAATGACAGTTCAAACCACTGGCAGAGCAAGCATGGTGTGTAGGGCTTGATTAATCAGTAAATGTGTTCAAATTATCTGCCGTATCCTGATGGCCTGTATCTTCCATTTGGTTTTTTTCCATGTTAAGGCATAGCTTTTTGTAGCTAGGGCTCAAATTACTCAGCAATACAACATCTTAATCTGATTGCAGGAGTCTGTAAAAGTCCCTATGTCTTTAATCTTCCTGATTCCAAAGACTTTGGTGAAGATAATTGGAAGTGTGAATTAGCCTATGATTAAATTGACCGAAAGGCTGCCATGAAGCTGAATCTGCCAGGTGCCTTTTCAGCGTATTAGGAGCATGGACGCTGTCCTCAAAATCGCTTATTTGCTGGAGAAAGAAATGGCAGCGTCTCGGCACCAAGCGCGACTTGGGTTGGCCGGGCCAGACAGGCTAGTCACAGCGTCGTTCGGGGCCGGTCCCGTCGTGGTGCGGTTCTGGCTCCTGGGGGTGCGCGTCTCGGCACCCTGGAAGCGCGGTCCGCTCTCTTTCTCAGCAGTGACCCAGCCAAAAGGGACTGCGGTGAGGCTTGGACACCGCAGCTTTTGATTTTCCCGTGCTGCTGTGTTCAGCGTGCCTTTGCCGTCCCAGAGCACGTGGTTGTACAAATACATGTCTGAGTGGTTTGGGGGATCGGGGGGGGTTTATGCTCAAACATATTTTTACACAACTTCTTGTTCTCTGAGCCATTTCTTGCTTATTTTTCCAAACTAACGCATTCAGTCTTCTACACTAAAGTACACTGCAGTTGAACCAAAACTTAATTTGGAGACAGCCGTTTGAGCGAGTACAGTGTCCAGATCAGTAAGAGATGCTCACAAATCAGAAAAACGTACGAAGCAAACTCTCCATCTTGCAAGGACGTTTGGTGTCTTGACGCCAAAGGACGCTGATCTAACTATTTTAAGCTCTGGTTATGCATACACCAGTGTTTTGAGCCAAGTGAGGGCTAAAAAATGCAAAATGACGAAGAACTGTTTCCAGTCAGGTTCTTTTAAATGAGAAGCAGAAGTAGCAGCTACAGTAAGAGCTGGCTTTTCTGAACTTTCTTTTCATTCATCTGAACAATTACAACGTGGAGTAAGGGTTAAAGGCCAGTGCTGTCCCCAAAATGCACTAATTTCAGCTTCCTGTCTCTCTCTCCTCCCTTCCTCTCCCATCCTCAGGAAAGTGGGAATGTCCGTGGCATCAGTGCGACGTCTGTAGCAATCCTGCGGTTGCATTCTGTGAGTTCTGCCCTCATTCCTTCTGTAAAGATCACGAGAAGGGAGCCCTGGTGGCATCGGCGTTGGATGGCCATCTCTGCTGCTCCGCACATGACCCCAAATCTCCGGTGGCACCTGAGTACTGGAGCAAGATAAAGTGCAAATTGGAACCCCAGAATCCTGCAGAAGAAGCAAAGGAGTGAATTTGGTTACAAACAAACAGGGAAGGGGAGAAGAGGGGCAAGCAGGTGATGAACTTGAAGAGACTGCTATGACACATTCAGTCTTTGTCATCGGAGCCGTCGTGTGTGAACTGGGAACGGGACCATTTAATCTTAGCAAGCAAAAGCAGGCGGTGGTGTTTGTTTTTTATTGTTTGGTCTTTCTTTTACCCTTGAACGTGTACAGCAGCTCTTCCTGTTGGAAACCAGAAGCGTCTTGGCCTTCAAACGCAGACCTTTTGACAGTGAAAAGAATATTCTGTTTAAAATATGTTCTTTGAGTGTAGAAAGCAAAGCATAGCAACATATTTATTTATTTAATTTTCCAAGGGTGCTGAAGATCTGGTTTGGATCAGTCAGCGTGTCTTTAAAAACAAAATAGCAAAGCCAACGTAACTTTTGTGTCTAGTTTGTGGAAAGAATAAAGCCTCCCCACTCTGTGTAACATGGAGATGCCATAGAGACAGATGTGGGTCTCAGACCAGGTGACCCTGAAATGCCTGCATTCCAGTACTTTTTTTTTATAAGGCATTTTGAGAAGGTAGGTTATGTGTCATCTTAACTTATGAATATTACTGTACAGCTTTTCCTATGAGAAATCAGATGTGTGACTTCTTGGAAGTGCTTGTAACATGAGATCTAGCATTGTCTAAGGAGGGAAGAAATCACAGTTCCTTGCTCGAGAGCTATAATCAGTGTTTGCAGACAGGTGGAAATTCAGAAAGAGCTTAATTGCGCAATGGTCGTTTCTTTGTCCTGCTTAATTTGGAAAACCTTCATCGTTGGGAGAGCCTCCCGGCCTCGGTCACACACTGCAGCACTCTCAGAACTGAAGTCTTAATCCTGCCCGTGGGAGCTCTGCCGTTGACTTCTTTAGGTGGAGGGTCGTTCTGTGCGTGTGTGTGTGTCACCTGCCACGTCTGCACTCGTTTTCTGGCAGTTATATTGGTGCCATCCTTCATTGCCGCCTTCTCAGACTCCCATTGGCTTCAAAGGAAATTTGAGTGCTCGAGGAATCCGACCCGTGCGCATGTTTGTTTTGGTTGAATGTTTAGATTTTTTTGCTGAGGGAGATCTGCTAACTTCAATCTCCGTTGTTCACGGAGCTAAGAGAAATCTCAGCACCTCTTCAGTGAACAGGGTATTTTCTATCTCTGGGTGACGGGCTGTATTCGCCGCAGCCAACTGTAGCCTCGTGAGACGGCGCTCTCTCGGATTTCCTGTTGATCAGTAGAGAGATGGGCTCCTTCAGAGGCTTTTGAAGTGGCTTAGGTAGGCTCCTGCTCCAGATTTTCTTTTGAACACCTATCCTCCTCCGTTTCTTGCACAAGGAGCCCGGGGGTCGAGGTTCCCCAGGCTGGAGTTAGTCTCTGGTGACCCTCCTCCCCTAGCCCGCAGTCTGACGAAGCACTGCGCTGGTTAGTGTGCTTTGGACTTGTATGCTGATAGCAGCTAACTCCATGCGAGCTTGTTGCTGATGGGTATTGAAAATAATCCTGAATGAAAAGAGTTAGTATCAAGTGTTACTGGCATCTGGCTAAAATGAGCCTTTGAATTAAGAATGAAGAACCTTGTCTCTGGAAGACTGCTTGTATAAACCTGCAGGAACACGGTGACTTCTCAGTTCAAGGAAATAGTAGGCTGAAAAAGCACATGTGGGACTTCAGAACATGTCCTGCCTCTGGCTGGTGTCTGTCGCGTCCTCATGTTTATGTCCAGGGAGGAAGTTTTTTTGTGTGCAATTGTAGAATTACAAAATACACTACAATGTCTCTGAGCAGCTGCTGTGCCACGGAACTGATCTGGCAGTTCATCTTCTGAACGTCTGCAGACGCCTGTCCTGCGAACGTGGGGGTGTCCTGGGTGGCAGAACTGTGCAGATACCTCGTGGGTCAGTCTGTGGGACAGAGGGCTGCTGGGGTCTGGAAAGCACTTCATCTGGTGGTCCGTACTACAGCGAGTGTCTGAAACACTACTCTTGCTTGAAAGCAGTGCTAGACTTTGGTATTTTTTACAGAAAAAAATTACAAAAAGGATTTTATTTTTCTTAACATTTTGTGTGATAAATGTCTGTTTTTAAGCTCTTACTGGGGGTGTTTAACCTTTTCAGACCTTCCAAACATAGCTCTTGCTACAGTGTCTGTAAGGCCCGAAGTGTTTACTTTATATTATTTATTAGGCCTGGCAATGTTCAAGTGATTTTCTCGTAGGAGGTCAGAGCGTTCTGCACGTTGCAGCTACGCTGTCGCGCGAGTGCACCCACGGGCTTGTTTCATTCTGTGTCCGTGGTGACCCTGACCGGAGCGAAGCGCTGCGGTGGCAGCGGGACAGCCCGGACCGTCCGTCGCCACGCGAGACGTGCTGCTGGGACGTGCTGGCGCGCCGAGTGTCGCAGACGTGCGAACGGTCATGGAAGGCTTAAAAACTTGTAAAATGCTGTGAATTGAGGCCTGCTGCTGCTCCTGTGCCGTGCCACTTGACGTCTTGGTTAACTTTGTTTTCAGACTTCTTACAGGTGCTCCTTTTTTCCACAAAAACAGTGTAACAGTAGCCAGCAGCTGGGCTTGGACTTAAAAGGGAACATAGGAGATTGGTGTGTAAGCTCATATGATTTACAAACAGAAAGTCTGAACTGGACTTCACGCTGTCGGAGAGAAGGTGAATCTTTGAAGAAAATCTTTAGCATTCTGAGATAAAGAAACGCCTGATTCCAGGTCTCTTGGTAACTGCAGGGGGTTTGTTCTACACGCCAACACAAAACGTTAAAATACACATTTTAGGCACATCTTTGCAAGCTGAGTAACAGTGATGCAAATCCTTTGTAAGGAAAATACTTAACAGCTGTTTTGATTCATTGGCGTCAACAGAGAGGGAGTCAGCTGCGGAATTAGATTGGTGTGGTCTCTACAACGAGAGAAGTAATATTGCAGTGTTTGGTCGTTCCATGAGGCCTGGAAGAAATCCTCAGAACCGCTGGGGGGTTCGGTTGAGACCTTAAGTGGGCTGGTTTAAGACTGCGAGTTGGTCCTGAGCTGGAACGCGACGTCACGCTTCTCCCTAACTTTTGTGTTGAGTTTGTGAGGTGGCACCGCGCCTCTGGCGAGCACCTGGCTCCCGCCGGCCGCC